CCCATGAGCTCGCAGACCTGCAGACATTTTGCTACTGCGTGCGTTTGTAGCTGAGCGCATTTGCCTGCTGTCCTCATGCGGTATTTCCTTTCACATTAATGTGGGCGAGCACAGCCACTAGCTTAATTGTGCAAGCATGTTGCTGATTCAAGATGACTGATGGTACACTTGTAGAAGCATGACTTTCAGTCGCAGCTCTCGTCGTACCGGCGTCCATGCTGCAGCCCTTTTTAGGCTCCATCAGTCAATGCAGATTAGGCTGACCGCTGCAGCTGAGGTGTGTTTGCTGTAGCTTCCTGCCAGCATACTGAGACCACTGCTGTAGCAGCATCCACTTGGGATCTCACTGTCGCGATTCCGGTGCTCCCTCATGTATTGCTTTGAAAGGTAACGCCTGCTGTATCAAGTGACTTTGCAGGCTTGATTTTAAGTGCTTTTGAGGTTTAGGCGAATCGACCATGCTAGACATGGTGGACCTTTAATGATGAATAATGACACCAGCGTAGCAGGGGAAATGCAGAAGCAGTTGTAGAGAAACCAGAAGGATCAAGGCTCATGCCACGTGATGTACTGCACATTTAGTTTTGCTCGACCACCAATGTGGTGATGGTTTGTCACAAGCCTGCACGAGGTAAGCTTTTGCGATCTCAGCGCAGCACTTTTTGCCGAGTGAGGTTCAACCAGAAATTCTCAATGTGTAGAGGCTTTGTAACTAACACCAGCAGTAAACCTGAAAAGCCTAATCCGCCCGCAGCCTTAGACACAAGCCATACCTTCCAGGCTCCAGCCCTCAAGTCCAGCTGCTCAGCCGCAAGCTTGCGAGGGCGGTGGCATGTTTGTTTTCAGCCCCAGGCTTGATCCGCGAGCACTCGTTGCACTTCAGCGTAGCGTTGCAGATCTGGACTGAGGTGGCAGTGTGCAGCTACGCTAGTTAGGACATCAGCACCGCAGGACAGGTGGCAGGACTGAGCAGGTTCATGAAGAGTTACTCTGTTGCCGTCTTTCCGACTGTCAAGCCAAGCGCATGCCTCTCCCAAGACGTCCCGGCGAGCCTATCGAAGCTTGGTAAGCGTAGCTGTTTGTCAATCTAGCATGGCTTCGCGCGGCTTCTCAACAGATCTTCAGGATTTCACGACATCATACGCTCCAACTTACACATCAGAGGAATCTCTTTTGTTCCGGATACTGGTGAGGGCTAAGCCTGAAAAGCCTCCACGGACCTTGTAAGAGCTTCCATGAAAAGACTCGCAGATTCGTAGTGCTGCGCAAGCTGCCAACCGTGTTTGTAAACCTTGGATGGATGTGTTTGGAAGGGGTTGACATCAAATAGTTCGTCACCTTTGAGCCAGCCACTGCAACTGTCAAGGCAGTCCCCAGCGCACTCTTTTCCACAAAAGCTCTTACGGCGTTTCCTGTTAGGAACTTAATGCAAAGTTGCCAAGCCTGTGTTGCCCCTGTGCTCTTGTGTCTTGTTGAAGCCTTGAGCATGAGACCAGTAGGGCGCCTCAAAACTTTGATCCCTCCTGAGGGTCCAGGGCCATGCTCCGGTTTTTGGAAAGGTTTACTACATTTTAGGAACACCTTGTGTTGAGCCATGCAGCCTCCTACTAATGCCATTTTGGGAGATCCCAGGTAGCCATGATCTTTCGAGTGGCTCTGACTGTCTTCTCTGTCACAGCAGCCTTTGCTGCAAAGTTGGGCGCCGAATCTGGAGCCCTCCAGCAGGACGCGCCAGGGCAGATGTAGGGGCTCTGGAAGCCTGCTCAATAGAGCAGATTGACATGATGGGTCTCGCGCTGTAGAGGGTTTTTTCATCCTGCTGTGGAGGATTCTTTCCCTTTGCGTACTAATTTATGCTATGCGATTGGTTGAACAGGTTCTAGAGGTGGAGCATGGTCTCTAGGCAGATGTAAAGATTCATTCCAGGGGCCTAAAGACAAGATTTTGTTACCGGACTCACGGCATGCCAGGCAGGCTATTGTCCTACTGGGCATTGCCATGCTAGTGCATGCTGACTCGTGTAGTATCAAGTTCTGCAAGCTTTCTCGCGTGGCGGTGCATGTCCTTCCCTCAACTGGCTTCAGCAAGCCTTACCGCTCTCAACTATAGGTCATTCTACAGCTCAGCCAACCAATCGCTTGGACAGCCGATAGTGCCTGACTTTCTTAGATGCCACGCAAGACTTCAATGAGCAGAAGCAATGGACCTCCACACTTGCATCAGAAGCGCCAAGATTCGCAAGATGCCCCAGCAGCCTCGGAGCCAAGTTTGCAACGCGGCAGGATGGCATCCTCAAGCTTCTAGAAGCTTCTTCAAAGGATTCCAAGGATACCAAGTCCAAGCAGGCTTGCTTGTTCCTTGTTACTATCTGTTTTTGGCCAGGAGGGTGGAACGCTTACATTAGCAGTTCTTTATGCGAACACGCACTTCAGGATTTGCATCGCGTTGAGCTGCTGTGCTCAACCCGGACTCAGAAATATCAGATTGCGCAGGAGGGTGTCTTCCCATTTAGACCTTTGCGCTCGAAGGGCTTGAAAGTTCTGCCAGCACTCTCTGCTCCACCCACTTCCCTCACTCCGAGAAATCTTTCTGGCAAGCAACTTCCAAAGGGCCGGGTTATGCCTAAGCCTGGCAGTACCACAATTCTTGTTTATGTGAAGACGTCTTGGATAGTGGCATTGTGATCACCATCTCTGAGGGTCTGGAATAGCATCCCTGAAGAACTCGAAGAAAACAGGCAGCAGCAGCGCAGTTGTAGTGACGCTGTCACTACTCTTTGTTTGCATGTCCAGGTGAGAGCAAAAACTTCCCAGATGGAAGTGGCTTGGCATACCGGTTGCTGGAAATATGTAGGAGGGTATGTACTGGGTACTCCTTCACAACCTACTCACCATCTCTTTTGCAAGGGAATTACATGCAAACAGTGCCTTTTGGGATGGAAGCCTGGGTAAGCTTTGCACATGGTGGGCCCTTTGCAATGCGTGGCTGCGCGAGACCTTGTGCTTTGTTCGAGCCAAGGATATGGTCATGTTTTTGGCACAGCAGGCCAAGGCAGCCAAGCTCGCCTCTGCCGCGGACCCCACACATGCAGGGCATGAAGTCGTAGCTGGGGCATTGAAGGGCCGAGGTTGAATAGCTGGAGTCACATTTGGGAAGCTGTTGGACATGGTGCGACATGCATGGCTCAAAAAAACACATGGCCTGCCTTCATAGCAATATCGATCTTCAGCATTCCTTGGTAACGTGAGCATCCCTCAAGCCTCCCTCAACTGACCCTGGCTATGACCTGCGTTGGGTAGCAACTGGGCTTCACTGCAATTTGAGAATCACCATCCAATTACCGTTTCTTCGACACTCTCATAAAACACAACAAAACCTAGGTAAATCCTGGGTGAGAATCACCCAACAGTGACTTGCAGCAGAATGTTCGTGAACAAAGGGCCATTCGAAAACAGGTAGACTGAGCATCATGAAATCAAACTGAGTGGCAGTACGAATCTTCCGCCGCCAAATTGCTTGTCACCCGGCGCCTCAATAACAACACGACCACCAACGCTGCCGACTGGTTCATCGCGTTCCAAGGTGGCTTCAACACGGCCGGCATTGGGGGGAACTGGCGAGGGCACTAACATCGTAGACAACGGCGGCCTCCACAGCAGCGCCTGCACCGCTACCGCATGAGAGGGTCGGCGACGTCGGCGAGAGGACCGCCACCATCCTCACCGGCACAGAGTCGGAGCTTGCGGCGGCTGACATCTGGACCCACGTGCCCGGAGGAGTGTCGCTCCAGGATGCGGCCGCCGCAGCTGAGGAAGTATAGAAGTTAGCCGACGCCGCAAACGGGACGCCACCACCACGAGCCGCCGAGAAGATCGCCTGGAATGCCGCAAGGTCCTCCTCGGAGTGGCGCAAGGTCCGGCGACAGCTCCTCGAAGCTGTAGGCGTCATTCCTCTGCATCCGCAGCTTGTACGAGTACAGTCCGCTGGGGTTCTCTCGGGCAATGGGTTCAATCCTTGTCGTCGCCAAAGGGGCGGATCAGTAGACGAGGAGGATAAGGATTCAGAAGAGGACGACTGGTTCAATGCCGCCTGAGCACGAAGTTCCGGCGCTGGCGTCGGGGCCTTCCCTTTGGTTGCTGCCGCAGTGCGGAGCTCACACAACCAAGGCGGGTACAGAATGCGCCCGCACTTAGGCATTCGGCTGGCGATGGATTCGCAGGGACGCATGGTGTCATACCGCACCACAAAGGGGGGGCCTGCCTGCTTGTGCTGCGCATTCCATTTTGCGGCGATTTTTTCGCGACAACATGCAGAGCACGCAGACGTGGAAATCATTGGGTCACCACACCATGCATACTACCCTTGCCCCAAAGTTCCCCCTAAGTAGGGGAGCCCATGCGGAAAAGTAAAATCCGTATGGAAACCAGCTTGTGTCATGCGGATGCATGCAAACCAGCGAAAGCTGCGCAAAAGTGAAAAATGGTGACTGCCAGAGAAATCCAAAAAGTTCATATCCTTGAAATGATGTTTGGCTGTGCGACTCGCAGCGTGCAACATGATTCTTGCTAAAAGGATCCAGTCGCCGCTGACACTGCCAACATCTCCGATTTCGTGGTTCAGCTGAAGGAAGAGCTCAAGGGCATGCTGCATCTTGGCACGAAGGCGCCCAGCTTTCTAGAAATTGGCGGTCCCACTGGTAAAGGTTCAGTGCTGAGATCCCGGGCTGAAGGCAAGGACATCTACGCTCCAAGAGAAATTTCAGACGAAGAAGGGTTGTGTTGGGCCGATTCGACATAAGACAAGTTAGCTTGGTGCCTAGGACTGAGCCCAGCCTCGTAGCTTATCTTGAAACTTCTGGCCAGCATGCCCCGCCCACTCTTGCCCCAGCCGAAGCTGAGTGGGAGCCACAAGTTGTTTCGTTCTTGTATGGCCTTGGTTACACACAGATTGCGAACTTGATTCACGCACCAGCTCCAACTGCATTCTTTGTTTTGGCTAAGGGATGCCGTGTTCAAGGCGGCAGACACGTCCGACAAAGCTTGCCAAGCGGCCTGGGCCGTAGCTCTTGAAACAGACCCCTAATTGGATGATGTGCTTTCTATGTTGATGAGACTGGGATTCCTTCAGAAGGGCAAGTTGTGAAGACAGCTTGACCACAATGAATTGGCCTTCAGTTGGGGTATGTGGACCTAGACAAAGTGCTCGGATGCGCAGCATGCCCAGGTAAGCCGTATCTGAAGTATAGATCACGGGAACAGTACTGGCACTGACGACGATGACCATGATGACGATGATGAGAATAATGAAGACAAGACAAGATGATGATGGCGATGATGATGACGACGATGATTCTGCTGCTGATGATGATGGTGATGGTCAACATGATAATGATGAAGATGATGACGATGACGATTATGAAGATGATGATGGTGACAGCGTTGACGAAGATGATGACGACGATGATGATGATGGTAACAACGAGGATGATCATAATGATGATGACGCTGATGATGAGGATGATGGAGTATAGGCAGACGTTTTGAAGGGGAGGCGCATGGAGGCGCGGGACGCGGGCATGGCTCTTTTTTCACATTGAACCTGTATCATGTCGAATGATGAATCCTGTTCAACAAGTCTCCGATTCCTCAGATGTTTACATATGCGAAGGACTGCGCGACCGCCAACCCCCCCTCTCTTCTTGACATAGACCCGTGGTAGGTTGATAAAAATCTCTTCAGTAACTTCCAAATTCCTCATTTTTCACAAATCGGGGGCCTGCGCCCCCCCATCCCCCTGCTGTTTTTCAACATGAACCTGGATCATGTCGAATGAAATCCTGCTCAACAACTGCCACATTCCTCAATGGTTTGCAAAGGGGGGGGTGCACCCCCACAACCCCCTTCTTTTTTAATATGAAGCCGTGTATCATATCAAATCCTCATCAACGGTTTCCACATTCCTCACTTTTTTGCAAGAGTATGGGGTCCGGAGTAGTTATAAAAACCAGAACAAGCCAAAGCCTAAAAACCTGAAGCCTAAAAACCTTGATCACAAAGAACCCTAAACCCAAACAACCCCAAACACCCTGTAACCCTAAACGCCCTGAACCCTAAAAAGGCTCAAAACCCGAACCCGATGTAAACATAAAGTAAACACCAAAAAAACTCTCCAAACCCGATGCCTAGAAACCCTAAAGACTCTAAACCCTCACAACCCTGAAGACCCTCAACCCTAAAACCCAACCCTAAACCCGAGCAACCCTAAACACTGAAAACAAGTAAACATCCTACAAACCCGAGAGACCTCAAACGGAAAACGTTTCACCCCAGCAACCTTAGACCCTAAATACCACCAAGCCCTAAGAAATCTATAGCCTGAACACCCTAAACCTCAAAAACCTTGCATGCCTTCAAGACCCTACAATCCCTAAACACCTTAAACCAAAAAACCCTAAATAGCACAAACCCCATAAATACTCTCAAGACGCTTAGAACTCTACGCACCCAGCACCCTAAAAACCACGAAAAACCTAAACAACCTTACTAAAGACGCTAAACCATAAAGAGCCTAGACCCTAACAACCCCAAAATCCCTAAACTGCCTAAACCCTAAACGTTTCAAACTCCTTCACCATAACCACAATGAAACACACTAAACTCTAAACTCCCCAAACCCTAACGTTCCTACATCCTAACAACCCTACAAGCTCTAAAAACCCTCTAGCCCTTAAAAACTCTGGAAACCCTCAAGCCCAAAAAACTCAAACCCCAACAGCCCTAAAATCAATCCGCCAACTATATGATGATGATTATGCTGACGAGGATAATGCTTCCATTGAGAACACATCCTCGCAAAGCCATGCATGTGTAGGAGCTTGAATGTTCAGAGGTCTGATTGCCGGACGTTAATGGCAACAATCTAAGCCCATGCTGCTGGAATGATCTGCTATCCCAGGGCATGTGTGCATAGCCGCAGTGCTGCCGCAAGGTGCAATTTTTCAATTTCCCTGACATAGCCATTCGCAACATGCGGCAAACAGTTGCAGCAGTTCCTTCTGCCAACTGCGCGTCTGCCCAGGCTTACGACAACATGTCGCAGGGCTGCCCAGTCTATGTGGGCAACACAACATTCCTTCCTCCAGGCTTGGTGACCCTGTTGCACGCGTTAGTGGTACCGAACCATAGGCCTCTGAGCCGTGACACACAGGTGCTCTGAAGGCCTGATAGCTTGTTCACGAAGCATGTAAAGTGCCAATCAGGCTTCAATGGTGACTTTGCCCCGCTCCGCGACGACCACAAGGCGTGCCGCGACTGGCTTCCCGAGATGAAGCAGGCCAAGTACCAAGTGCGATAGCAGAAGCCGGGGACCAGGGGATGAGATACTTTGGTCATTTGAATGTGTTCTTTCTCACTCTTAGCCGTTTGATGATGCTTGGCTTCTGTTCCAGATGCTGTAAGCTTTCAGCATCTTTCCTAGACCAGTTTCAAGGATCTCCTCGCAAGATCTGTGGAGCCTTAAAATGTTTCAAGCTTTAAGAACGTACTTGGTCTATCTCGGGCCGCGGCTGAATGCTGTTGGCCCCCAGTTTGCTGTGGGATACTGTAGCCAGTTCTTGGAAGCTGGGTGACTCGGGTCTTGAATCAGGAGGGACGGAGAACACGAGGGCGGCCATTGGATACCATGCCTGCATGTGCAATTGGCAGCAGATCTGTCGGTGAATCACCTGCACGTTTCAAGCTTCTGGAGCAGGAGTACGAGAGTTGCCACAAGATCCGCGACAGCCTTGTCAGTCAGGCGCCAAAAGGGTCTAGGATGACTTGTGAGAAATGTGCGGATTTTGACTCTTAGCACTACGGACTACGGGTCTAAGCTGTGGCTTTGTGTCCCGCGGGCTCTTGAGAGACGGTGCTCATGTTGCCGCCTTTCTTGCTACACCCACAGGCCCTCACACGCCCTGTCCGAGAGTCTGAGCTTTCTCAAGCGCCAGGAGCAAGCCCTTTTGGACTCCTTCAGGGATGTGAACATCTTCGAGAGTCCCGACGAGTGCTGGGCCCGGTAGACTTTTCAGACCTTTCAAACGGTCCCTGTCAAAGAATAGCCTGCCCAAACAGGGTACCTTTCAATTAGCTAAACAAGCCTAATGTGCGCGTGGTGCGTAGATTTGAGGTTGTTTGAAACTGAAAGGCCTTCTCACTTGCCATCATCGAATAAATGCTCCAGGCTTCCTATGGCTTCCTAGGAGGCCCTCAAGAGCGTCCTTCACTGGATCAATGGTATTCCAAGGTCTTAGTCTGCAGGAGTGCAGGTATTTTCTTGACCAATCACCGCAAAGTGCATGTGAGGCTTTCTCTTAATTAAGCTGGAACTTGTCACTTCTCACCAACGCGCCCAGTTGCACCATCAGTGGAACCGACGTGCTTGCCTACTACGAGGTGCTGTCCAACCATTTGAGACAATTTCATGTGGATTTTTCATTTGGATTGCTATATCATTGAGCCTGGTGAGCTGTCTGGAGAGAATTTGTCTTGGGGTTTCCTGACCTGATTTCATTCCACTATGACTTACGATGCACAAGAAGGTACTGTCGAATGCCTTGATTCGACCAGAAAGGTAGCAGATATTCAGACATTTACAGACCGTTCTATGGTCTTTTAAGTGTCTCTTAGCTCTTCTGTGATTTGACGCAGGCCATGCGCGTGCACTTCAAGAATCGTAAAGACACATTCTGGGAGACCTACTACAAGCTTGAGCCGCCCAGCCTGCAACAAGCCTGATATAGGGCACATACTACTCCAAGTGTTCCCAAGGAGTTCAAAACGTTCCAGATTCCAATTTTTGCTTTGAAGCCGTGCCTGCGATCCAGGGTTCAAGTCCAACTGGCTTGCAGCAACGCCAGAGCTAGCCGCAATACCAATCCAGTGCCTCTCTTCTCGGATCCAACAGATTCGGGCAAGCTTCAGCCCGCTGTGCATCCGGCAGCACGGTAGGACGCTCTTTGACCTGGACTAAAGTGGATCTGCTTTTTGCCATTTCTGTTTGTTTCAGCCCAGGAACGTCACGGAAAATATCACCAAGTTCAAGTGCATCGATCAGGAGGCACTGCGTCACACACAACAGGAGTTGTGCGGCAAGATGCCGTGAGGTCCCGTTTTCAGGCCTCCGGGCTCAGCTAGTCATAGAGGGGGCTTCGTCTTGCGTAGGTCATGAAGAAGGCCTCGAGAGATATTCTTCACGGAAGGAAAAGGTTGTGACCATCCTTAGCTGGAGATGCACTCACAAGCGCACCTTCAATGCTGACAGGTGGCCTACTTTGGGAAGGTCGCAGAGTGCGAGAGTGCCCAGTTGAAGCTCGAGCAGACGGCCTGCGACCTGCATGAGAGGACATCCTTTGCAGAAAAGTTCCTGATTCTGCAGTACCTTGGCCCTGTTCTCTCTTGTCTGGTGCACGCAGACCTGGCTCTGCCAGTTCAGGCGTTAATTGGTCGTTGAAGGTTTGGGCGGCTTGCTGGAGTTCCCTTTCATATTCATGGCAGCGGCAGGACCACCGAGTCTTGCAAATCTCTTCCTGCATGCACTTTGGCCTGCAAGAAGCTGGCAGGCCCACCACTTGTGGCTGAGTAACGTAGCGTAACGGTGGTGAGAACACATGACATCATATGAGATCTGGCACTTTCGAAGCTACGTCAAGAGAGAGGCTCAGGAGGTGTGTGACGCATGCTGGCGCACAAGAGAGCTTCAGCGCGTAAAGGGGCGCGTGATGGAAATCGTACAAAAACGCACATTTTCTGTGCTTCATCGAGGCCATGATGCTAAGTGGAATACCTACGTCGAAGAGATGTCGGCAGCGAATGGCACCATCCAGGCAGGCGACGCTCTTGACGGTAGTTTCTACACATTGCTACCGCAATACCTGCCGTTGGAGTTTCAAATCTATTCATATCTCGTTTCGGACTTCGCCGACCAGCGAGTGGCATACAATTCAGACTGAGTTTGCCCAGCATGAGAAGAAACAGTCGGACTTGCTACGCAACATACTTACTTACCAGCTACCACTCATAATGCAAGATGCATGGTGGCATTCGTGGAAATCTTATTTGCCATCTCTTCTACTTGCGATGCTCCCGGCCACACACTACTCAGAATGCACGTCACCCCTCACATTCGGAACGCGGCTAGGAGCCACAGTCCCTCAACCAAATGCAAGCAGAGGCAAACTAGTAGTAGTAGTAGTAGTAGTAGTAGTAGTACCCAAGGCATCCATCTGCAATGCTAACCCTGCACTGATCCCTGCACAAACTAGAGCTGCTTCCAGCAGAATTCCCGAACCCTTTCTGTGGTTTTAGCCGCTTGCGGCCCACCTTGTGTCCTTCTACTGACTCGAGTTTGATAGATGGAGGCCAAGTAGCCGAAGTCCTGCAGCAGAATCAAGAGCACCATTGATGGTGGTAGGGCTCATTCCATCTCACCGCCAAAAGACCAAGCTACCCAAAGATACGGCCACCAGCGTTGAATTCAGAATGTTCCACTGTTACGAGATGTTGCGATGGATCATCGTGGTCTGTAAAGCATCAACGATGATTCCCCTGGCAGCGTTGCATCACCGCTTTGGTCTCAGGACCTGAAGTACGAATATCGTGCGATCAAGCGTATTTTGGCTGAAGGTAAGTTTGGGTGCAGAATTCACGGCAAAGCGCGCACTTGCTGATCTCAACCCAATCAGGCTTCAACAAACAGGGAATCTGCTTCTCTGTGGTTTGCTGTGCAGGTCGGAGAGGCCGAGTGAAGCCCCTTCCTGCCAAAGTCCTGAGACATCCTGAGACACCAGAAAAAATCATGCCTGCCTTGCAAGGAATTTCTTCTCCAACCCGTGAACTCGAAGCCAACGTTTCCTAAGGCATCCAGTGCCTCTTGGACGCTTTTGCTTCCGATGACATGGATGCCAAGATTGATGAGTGCATCAACAAGAGGCTGGCCAAGCAGTAGGCTGCTAGGCAGTCTGTCTGTGCTGGATGCGTTTCAGGACGTTCTCGGTACTATGTTGACACTATAGTGCTTTGAGCGCTCATCTGGGGATTTCTGCAACGTCACAGGCACAGCACCGATCTGGTAAACAGCACCTGTGCCTTGGCATCCAGAGACCAGATCAGCATACGCCTACATTGGAAGCATGCATTGGCGGAACTCGCATGTTGTGAAAATTTGGCAAGTGGACCCTTGAACGCGGAATGTAGCTTTCAATGGCTTGTGCAATGCCTTTTGCTTTGGAGCTTACATCTCTAAATCTAGCCTGATAGCCAGCTTGATTGCATGTGTCGCCCATCAGGTGTGGACAACCACGATACTGCGGGCAAACCTGACTACACTGAGCCGGACGTGTGCAAGAAAGGAGCGCTGATTGGGAATTTCTTGGTCAGTGGACAGAAGCAACTTCCTAAGAAGGACTCATCATCGCTCATAATTCTGAGTAAGGGATACAAGCTGGTTCATGCTCCTCTCTGCGCTTGCGCGAGATCTTGACAAGGTCATTGCTCCACTAGGGGCTCCTGCAGGTCAACTCGTTGAATTCGATAGCCTTGAGATACGCCGCCAGGGTCCGCCAATTTCCTGTGACTTCATTTCCCATCATCAAGTCTGAAGAGCAGTCTAGCCTCCGCTGCCACCGGCTCTTGGAGGAGTTGAATCCATCCTGCACCCCGACGACGACAAGTTTGACGACACAGAGTTCACTGCCAAAGGCCAGCGTTTAAGGCAATCAAATACTGTGGGTTAGGCTATCTCACCTTTTTTTGGCATGCGCCGATCACCACAAAGAGGAGCCAGTCCAATTCATGTCATGGCGGTATGTACTGTAGCGGTTGGACGGATTTGTTGGTTCAGTGTTTTCGACAGCGTCTGTATTGTTTCAGCCTTATGTGGGCTTCTCTATCAGAATCCTGACTATCTAGATCCTCTGGAGATCTGATTCGAAGGGGGCATGCAGTAAGAAAGGAGTTCGGAGAATTTTCAATATCGTGGGCAAATCGCTCAATGTCTCTTTACATCTCCTTACTAAGGACTTGTCTCAATCTTCAATGCTTCCTGGATCTCGCTCCTTCCAAGGCCCCCAAAAGTTACAAACTTGAAGCTATTCTCGCGCAAAAATGGCAGTCAAGTTTCTCTTCACAGCGATTCCTGAAAACTTGGCGCACTCTGCATCATCTCCAGTCCTAGGAAGGCAATGAGAAGTTGGGGAAGGGATCTAGCTTTAGAGTATGTTGCAAACATGTGGGACTGCGGAACTGGTACTCGATCAGCTTGAGATATCTTGCGCAATGTTGTGGTCAAGGAGCCAAGACAATGAAAAAGATTCCATAGCTCGCGCCCTGAAGAGAAACCAAACATCTTGTTCTGTTCCCCGACAATGTGGTTCTTGACGTGCGGCTGGTGTTCTTGATTGTCTAGGCATTCAGGGTTCCTTGCTGTCCTTGAATGGCATGTTTTCCAGAATCGAAGCGGCTACACAATATGAGTCCTACATCAAAGGCGCTCCGGCGAGGACCGGGAGACGGTTAGTTACCAACCAACTCACCATGCAGGTGATCTGGCTAAGAGCTCAGCATCCTGACTTGTAAGCCTAAGCCCTGACCACTGCAGGTATTGAGGCAGCCCGATGCATGGCATCCTGTTGCACGGTGACCTGGTACAGCTGGACCACCTATGGAGCCTGGCGCGTGCACAATGGGAAGGGACGTGGGTTGTTGGGTTGGGCGCATCCATTTTGTAGAATGAAGCCGGAACGTAAATTTGCCCGATCCGACCGTGCACTCCAGGGATTTGACATGCTATGACGTGGGGGCTGGCTCGAGGAGTCTGTGAAGTTTGCGGTCACTGCAGCCGAGGAAATGCCATCGTGGATCGGACCCACTACCTCATTGATGAGGTCGCCATTTAAATTATGGTGTTCATGTGTGGATCGTCCAAAAACCCATGTTCAAAAATCTATAAGCACGGGGACGCATGATGCGAAAACACTGCAGGCGAAAGGGCGGCGAAAGGTTTGCGAACGGTTCAAAAGTCAGTCCCAACAACTCGTGTAGAGTGGCATAGCTGGACCGTTGCGCACGCATACGG